GCCTTAAACAAAGATTCTTGCCGTATCTGGATTGAAAACAATAATCTTGTCCACTTTTTTGCTATTAGAAAAAAATATTTTCAACAAAATTATTTAGCATTAAATGAACATGATGAATAAAAAACGGGCGTAATTTTTTTTTTGGGGGGGGGGGGGGGGTTGCATGTGAATCCCATATCTGACCGGAATGTCTGTTTCGCCGAACTGATATACTGAATACTTTTTTCAAGGCCCGACTGCAACCTGCCTGCTGGGTGTGGCCTATATGTCTCCATGTGTCGACCGTCATTCACAACTTCATTGTCATTTCCGACTCATTCGTAACCTTTGGTTGATTTGGAACCCCTCACTTCCCTTGTTGGTTGAAACATTTCAACCAAACATTTGGATAAAAATTGCTTGTTTGTCTTTCTTCGTGTCGGTCGTATTGTAAATTTCATTGAATAGCCGTATATCTTGTTTACAAAAAGAAATCTGTGAGGTTATGCTAACCATACAACAAACGAGAATTTTCCATTTCCATTTTTTACTGACAAATCCCACATCAAATATATTTATTAGTACATAGCTTTGGATCCATCCAATCATTTTATAATAGACGATTAATGGAGAGAATACGGCACCAAAAATGTCCAACCCCTACACTTTAACTATAAAATGCATTTCACACTTATTTTATGTTTTTAGCTAAAAAAAGGTCAAAAAAAATTTTCGCCTCGCTCCGCTCGGCGAACTTTAATACTACGCCCCCCCTTTCCAAAATCCGGGATCCGCCCCTGGGAAAAGTTTATGTGTGTGCTTGTCAGATAGAAATAGACAACGCTTATATTTAAGAATAAAAAAGGGATGAAAAAGAAATATTACTATGCTTTATATTTAGACTAATTCACTTAAACTGTGTTATACAGACGAAGAAATAACGCCACGTGTAGCCAGGATAAATAAAAAATGATGATTTTAATTATGCTAATAATGATATATTATCCAATCAAAGGGGAAGCGTACGATATGTCGGCCCCTGAATCCGCCACTGACCAAGCAAATTACGACATAATTAAACAATTAACAACTTTGTAAAAAAAATTATAGAAAGGCGTCTTTTTATTCCATATAATTTATGATATTTTGTGGACAATATAAATCTTAAATCAGTGTTTCAGAGTCATATCAGATAAAAAAAATAATTGTAATTTCTGCCACAAAAAAAAATCGTATTTTAGAATCACGAAATAATTGAAATCGAATTTGGATTAGTTTTGTGCTCAATGGAATTTATTAAGACTTTAAAATATTCTATTCCTTTATAGTCACTATTTTGAGATCGAATTTAATGAGGTTCATATATAAGTATGTGTCAAAACAGAAAATATACAGTTGCAAATCAACGGGTACGTCTTAACACTGGCCAGGACCTCCTGAGTGCACTCAGGACATACAAAGTGCACCCAGGACTCTTTTAAAGTCATCGTATATGCACACAGGAAAAATGTTTATATTCTGTTCACGTTGTTTATTTTAGTGGAAACTATTGGAAGATTTTGAAAACGAAGGTAAATAGATATTCATTATTTTTATAAAATAATGAGGGCACGTGTCACTGATTTCACAACATTACTACTCAGCCGTGAATAATCCAATCAAAAAATTGATTGGATTATCCTTATTGCTTATGAATATTCAGATTCAATATTTATTTAAGCTATCTTATGTATATCATGTTATAAAACAGTGTTTTCATAAAATTTAATAATGCAAAATTTTAAAGTTTTTTTTCGGAATTGATTTATGTAATTAAATAATTTGTGTATTGACTTTAACGATAATGGAGAAAAAAAACTCAAAAGTCCCATTTAATGTATTTTTAAACAGTTTATGTGTAATGAGCCATGTAAATTATTTTTTTTATTATACGTTCTGTAGTTCTAAAGTAAAAGAAATAACAATTGGTTTGTCTATTATCAGTTCGTTTTTGTTTTTCTTCGTGAATTTTTTCTCCTTTCCAACATCAATGAAATAAACGAATATCATATTTTATTTGATATAAACATACAAAGTGTTCTTTGTTTTGTTTTGCTAAGTCTAATATCTTGGTAGAGTACGTGCTTTCATTGGTTTCTTTCTTTGGTTTGGCTAATGGGCAAGTTTTTGTTTTATTTTTATTTAACATCTGTGCATAAGGACTAAGTCGTTGTAAGCACGGACTGAGTATCTTTCAACAGTCTGCAAAATAGTCTTTCTCGCTGTTCTTGATTATGAGTCTTGCAAAAACAACATTAAATTGATATGAAATAACATGTTTTCTGTAAAACCAAAAAGTTCATAATTTCTCATGAGCTCGATTTAAAACCAAATCTTACTACATGTACCTGAAATTGTTAAGAAAAAAAAAAAAAACAAATATGATAAACGACGGGAGTTCAATGTACGCATTATTTTAGCCCGTTTGTGAAAGGGGGTCGGTCTTGATCGGGACAGAAAACTGACAGAAAAATGGAGTCAAATTCATTATACAGAATTTATTTTCTCATTTAAACTCGTTCAGGCTTGTAATCATGGTAATACTGGAGAAGAACGATTTTAAGGAGAAACAACACTTTACTGTTTGAGTTTGATTATTTGAAAATCGTATTTTTATAAGTACGGCAACAAATACAGATAAGAACGGGCTTCATACAAAACTAAATATTGCCTTATTAAAATGTTGATGACAAATTCCTTCTTCATATTTTATTTCCCTATTCAAACTCGTTTGAGGAATTTATTACTCACCGTGTATCATCGGTACAGCGGATATAGCTTAATAGGTACTTCGAAGGGTGAAAAGCTATATACCGTACATTCATTTAACTATGCACCGTACAGAAGGATTTATGTGGTCAGCTATACACTGTACACAACGCTTCTTTTCGGAATAAAATATCGAAAAATAACATACGTAACAGCTTCCATTTGCAGCTGATTATTTCCAAATGATCAAATTCAGGATGTGATACGTTAAGAATGAGGCATCTTCTTACATTGTATCAATTTATCACGATTTTTTTAGAATGATATCAGGACTGTAATCTTTTGAGACTTTAAAAAAAAATCATCAGAATTCTGTTGAGAATACTATCTTTTTGAGGAAACAATTTTCTTATCTGAATTCTGTTTAGAAAAGTGCCTATCCGAGGAAACGATTTTCTTATCATAATTCTGTTAAGGAAAATATCTATATGAGTAAACGATTTTCTTATCAGAATTCTGTTAAGGAAAGTATCTACCTGAAAAAGCGATTTTCTTATCAGAATTCTGTTAAGGAAAGTATCTATCTGGGAAAATATTTTCTTATCAGAAAATATCTATCTGAGGGAGCGATTTTCTTATCAGAATTCTGTTAAGAAAAGTATCTATCAGAATTCTGCTAAGGAAAGTATCTATCTGAGGAAACGATTTTCTTATCAGAATTCTGTTAAGAAAAGTAGCTATCTGAGGAAACAATTTTCTTATCAGAATTCTGTTAAGAAAAGTAGCTATCTGAGGAAACAATTTTCTTATCAGAATTCTGTTAAGAAAATAATTTATCTGAGTAGCGATTTTCCTATCAGAATTCTGTTAAGGAAAGTATCTATCTGAGGAAAATATTTTCTTATCAGAAAATATCTATCTGAGGAAAATATTTTCTTATCAGAAAATATCTATCTGAGGGAGCGATTTTCTTATCAGAATTCTGTTAAGAATACTATTTATCTGAGGAAGCGATTTCCTTATCAGAATTCTGTTAAGAATACTATTTATCTGAGGAAGCGATTTCCTTATCAGAATTCTTTTAAGAAAATTATTTATCTGAGTAATGGTTTTCTTATCAGAATTCTGTTAGGGGAAGTATCTATCTGAGGAAAATATTTTCTTATCAGAAAGTATCGATCTGAGGAAGCGATTTTCTTATCAGAATTCTGTTAAGAATGAGGAAGCTTTTTCCTTATCAGAATTCTGTTAAGAAAAGTATCTATCTGAGGAAACGATTTTCTTATCAGAATTCTGTTAAGAAAATTATTTATCTGAGTAGCGATTTTCTTATCAGAATTCTGTTAAGGAAAGTATCTATCTGACGAAAATATTTTCTTATCAGTAAGTATCGATCTGAGGAAGCGATTTTCTTATCAGAATTCTGTTAAGAAAAGTATCTATCTGAAGAAACTATTTTCTTATCAGAATTCTGTTAAGAAAATTATTTATCTGAGTAGCGATTTTCTTATCAGAATTCTGTTTAGAAAAAGTATCTATTTGAGTAAACGATTTTCTAATCAGAATTCTGTTAAGAAAAGTATCTCTGAGAAAACGATTTCTTTTTGGATCAGTATCTACCTGAGGAAACCTATTGTTATATCAGAATTCTGTTAACTATACTATCTATCTAAGGAAGCGCTTTTCTTATCACGTTTTTGTTCAGAATAGTATGAATCTGAGGAAACGATCTTTTTTTAATAGAATTCTGCTAAGGTCAGCATCTTTTAGAAAAAACGATTTTCTCATCAAAATTCCGCTGAGAATATCATCTTTCTGAAGAACGATTTTCTATTCAGAATTCTGTTAACAACAGTATCTCTTTGAGGAAACATTATCCAGCTGCAGACCAAACATTAAATCATTTTCCTGTGCATAGAACCCAGGTCTTCTGTAGGGCAGACGGACGGAGTCGAGCGGTTACTATTTCTTTTTTTTTCCTCTTCCGCGCAGATAATGGGCCAATTGTATTGAAAAATAGGCAATGAAAAATAATTAGTATGGAAATTTAAGGTAAACAAATAAAGAATAGAGAAAAATTTGTTAAACAAAAGAAAAGAGTAAAATTAGGGAAAACCTTAAGCAATAGCGAATTATAGAAATATGCCTAATGGATAAAATACATAAAGCATAGAGAAAATTTAGATTAAAAATTAGGATTGAGGCATGATTATTTAAAAATAGTATAGATAGATAAGATTCTTACTAACTCAAACTTTATTTCTGTTCTAACATGTGAACTAAGTTCTCTTCTACAAGCATAATGGTTGTAATGATACAGGATGTTGCAACTAGAAAGTTTGTGTGCATCTCCAATAAGTGAACTTAAAATTGGCGTATTAAATTACATTTATCTCCAATAATTCACAAAAATAAAAAGAAACCCGGCTATAGAAAGAAGAAAGACGTACACATCTGTCAAATGATTTAACGTTTTTAATATATAATTATTATGCAATTTATTATAATTTAATTATGTTATTTCCTATGTTGTACATGTATTATGTACTTTTCATATGACCCCATAACATTCCATATATTCTTATGCAACGCTTTTGACCTCCAATAATGACATGATAGAATCTCAGTTTGCAATCTTAATCTGGGAGAGTTCATCAAATTTAATTATGTATATAATAGCTTCAAATGATGTTCCTATTTGAACCTCAGTTAAATCTATATAATTCACATATGTACCATTGGGACACATCATTAATATATTAGACAGGGAGCTCCTTCATAGAAATTATAAACACATTTGGTAAATGCACATCATGTGGTAATTAGAACTGGCGGGAGAAGTAGCATCACAATTGACTTTGTTTAAAGTCAAATAATAAAGATATGGTCAAAACTATTAAGTATCTCAATCACGCAACGTGTTTTGTTTTTTTAACATGTGTTTCCATGTTTTAATGTAAAATTTACAGTTGAGTGTACAAAAGACACAAACTGTGTGGTTTTAATGATAAAATAATGGTGTCAGAACACTAGGAATCTTTATATTTAAGTTGCATTTATGGGGTTCACAGGGGGATCGTCAGTTTTTAAGTGATTTTCAAAAAAACATTTCATGGGAATTGCCTTAAAAAATAAAAAATAGAACCTCTATAGGTGCCCCCTCTGGTTTGGTTTTGATATATGTGATCAAATGGATTATTTTCCACACAACCGTGTCCCTTTTTTAGGGTACTTTGTTTTTGAATGAATTATAGTTCTCCAAAGATTACAAAGGTGAAATGAGGTGTGGTACCCAACAGTTGAATCAATATATCTTCTAATTGCAGTCATATATAAACAATCTGAGACACAATTTTGTAGCTTGGTCAATCAAAGGGATAAAAATAGATTTTTACTACGATATGAAATATGCTTTCCAAGTTGGGAGCGCCGTTATTTGGCAGTTCATGGGCTATATTTTTAAATTGATCCTACCAAAAAAAACATTAGATTAAGAAAGTTCAGCTGCTTTAAAGTGTGATAAAGATTATAAAAATCCATTCTGTAATTTATGAGAAATTTATCTTTAAAAGACTGCTGAATGGAGTCAGAAAGGTCTGCCTGTAGTGCTACCTTAAATTACCACTTTTTCTTACTTTAAGTACTATTTTATAGATGTTATGTGGTCTCAGCACTATTTAACAACTTTCTTGATAAATTACAAAGCACTCCTCAAATGTTATCTTCGTGCATTAGTTTTATCTCAATAACATAAAACATTGTCGCTTTAATTGCATCGCCATTTGTCCCTTTAACTATGAAAATATTTGGTTAGTTAAAAATACAATTATACTTTGGGTACCTAAAGTCTCACTTTACATTTCTTTATCTTATTCACATCAACATCAATGTTATGAATGTTTTGCTGCTGCCATAACTTCAAATGTCTGCGAAATTATTCATTTATTTCGTTCTCTTCTATTTCAAATATACGGATCATTCTATATTGATATATGTACTATTTGGATATATTATAATTTAGGAATTATATATTTCAGAAATGAGTTAACTAATACCTACTTAACCAAAATGTTATATACTGCTATTGGTTAAAAAGGCCGGGATAAAGTACCGGTTTTTTTTGTATCCAACTAACAAATGTCAAAATTATCAATAAATAATAATACATATAAAACAACTATAATATTTAAACGACAACATCTTCAATATTTGATTAAATTTTTAATCCATTCAAATCTAATCTGACTTTTTCACTTTGTGGTAGGTTTCCACTTTTCGTCAGATCAAATGACCCCGGAAAACAATTGAAAATGTCATAATTTTCAATTTCTCCTGTTGGAATCCATTTGTTTCCATCTTGTTTGAACTGTTCCACTGTTAATATATCGCCATCTTGTTTTATAACTTTCCCGAGCTTTGCATTTAACTCTGTCAATTTGATCAAAACCATTTTCCCGACAGAGTATCGCCTTCTGTCCTGGTGGGTACCTCTGGCAGCTCCACGTTCTACTTGGTTAGTATAAACCTTCAAATAAGATTTGATTTTATATAGTTGTGAAATATTTATTATTGCCCATTTCCCTTAAAAAAAATTTCACCAGTAAAATCCTTGTATTAATCCCCAAAAACATTATGTGTTATAATTAAAATTCTGAATAAATATGGTTTTTACCCCACTATACATTCCTGTCAAGGCTATATGTACCATCCGGTTTAGTGCAAAGATTCAAACAACTCAATTAAGTAGAAGTCAACCTGTAGTTTAGTATTTTGCTTTGTTTTAAGATGGATGTTGGTTTTAATCCAATGATGTATATATCTTGTCTGCTCTTGTTATATTTCTTTAATGAAAGTGTATTTGCATTTCAATGCAACAATAATGCAAACACATTGATATCTGCCCGAATACCTTTACAAATTATACTACTCATGACTGCTAAGCTGCTGAACAAATATATATATATATATATATGAAGTGATTCAGTTCATAAGTAACTACGAAACGTTGTGCAAAATCTTTCAAGTCTATTCCACAAACTGATATATATGTAGATAGTTTACATATCGTTTAAGTGCTCACACGTAACACCCATCTGACACATTCATGCACATATGAATCCATTTGAGTAAGTACTACTTGAAAATGTTGTGACAAAAAATTGCAAAAGTTTCAACACATTAAAAATATCTATGTATCCGCAAGCAGGAAGTTAGTATCTGACAGATCCGAAAAGTGATTGCTGACCAAATATACTGTCATTTTAGTATGAAGTACCCACATAAAGTGTGTACTCACCTCTTTGAACTCATTCCTTTTCGTTAAGTATTTATCTACAAGTTGCTGTTCCTTTTCACCTAACGTTGCTTTACTTTCAGCAGGTCTAAACTGTTGAAGATTATTTAATGGCCATTCTGCTTCTTGTTCACTTGGTGGAATAATTGGCTGATCCATGAATTCCTTCCACCAATTCACTCTTTCTTCGGAGAAATTGGCCAACTTGTAGTCTCTCTCAATCGATCTAAGAACAAAATATAGATAGAAATAACTATTGCATTAACACACTTTTTACATTACTTAAGAAAATAAAAATACTGAGCAAATATGAAACTATTCGTAATGTGGTAATAAATTTTTAAAGGTGACAATAAACTTTTTTGAAGCTATTAAACTGTGAATTGAATTGTGTTACAGTGTTTAAGAAAGGAATCGCTATTCCAAAACACGGAACAATGAAATATCATTGCATGTATCTATATATTCAGAAGAACAAGAATGTGTCCATAGTACACGGATGCCCCCCCCCCCCCCCCCCCCGCCACTCGCACTATCATTTTCTATGTTCAGTGGACCGTGAAATTGGGGTCAAAACTCTATTTAAGCATTAAAATTAGAAAGATTATATCATAGGGAACATATGTTCTTAGTTTCAAGTTGATTGGACTTCAACTTCATCAAAAACTACCTTGACCAAAAACTTTAACCTGAAGCGGGACAGACGGACGGACGGACGAACGAACGAACAGACGGACGATCGAATGAACGGACGGACGCACAGATCAGAAAACATAATGCCCATAAATAGGGCATAAAAATATGTCCACTGAAACATAGACTATGTTTATACTTACTGTATGGACTTAGAATCCAAGAATTATTATCATATTTAAATTTTTCGTTTAATATAAGTACTACTGAACAGAAATAAGGTCAAGTTTTCAATAAATAAATTAAAAAAAAAACGCATGCAACCCTTTGGAGGGGTATTTCGCTGACCTTTTCAGACATGTTACTCTTTTAGTTGCGGTAATAAAAATCACAATTACTCCTAATATCCACACATTAAACTAATATGAAATGATATATTATTAGATAAGTTTCCTTTCGATTAACAAAACTCCAATAAAAATGGATAATGTGTCTATGGATTACAGATGCCTCGCTTGTAAATATACATGAGTAAACTTCCATATACAGATGCAGGATTCCCATAAATAAGACCGTTTCGGGTTTATAAGCATTGTATTTAAATTTCATAACATTTGGTTGAGGCAAACTAAAGCTAGAGAACGGAAACGACAGATATAGCATTTTTTTCCATTTATAAACGGACATAACTCTAGAACGGTAAAAGTGACACCACCTAATTTCAAGCTTGTTCTGTGTTTTTGTTGTTGGTGATAAAGAATTATAATAACATTTGGTTGAGGCAAACTAAAGTTAGAGAACGGAAACCAATTCTGGGGACGGAAGGACATGTCCCGGTAACACTACAGCGGGGTCATAATAAAAACATCACAGTGCATGCGGGGAAATATCTACAAAAAAAATTTAGCAAATATACTGTCAATTGTTCGACATTTGTACTGTAAAATACAATTACAAATCAAACATTTAAACAACAATTGGGCGCCTGAAGATGTTAGATACTAAAAATTACGAAAAGGGCAAATAACGCGATAAACTGCATACATGTATATAACAATTCAAATAACCACAATCCCACCGATAGTATGAATATGAAATAGCCCACTTAAGTTATCTCAAGAATAGATACACCATAGTTGTAAAAAAAAGAAGGTCTTACACCTCAGACACGGGCGAACTTTGTTTTACTGCATCCACACAACACTAAACAATGCGAGTAAATAGAATGGACGAGAAAGGATTTAAGTAGTAATTCTTATGTTAATGACACGAATGTCTTCAGTCAACATGTAATATGTTATGACCAGCTATCACTGCATGCGTAAGTTTTAAATATCCAAAACTTCTAAACTTTAGACATACCTCTTCAGGTCTTTCACAAAGTCATGATCGAGTTGTTGATCAACAAGTGCGGGAAATCCTGGTGGTAGTACTTGTTCACCTTTATTCATTTTGAATATTTCTAATGGTCTTTCGTTATGGCTTGGATGCCAAACATCGTCAGTGGAAAACACCTTAAATTTTACAGTTGTGTGGCCTACAGCATCATTGAAAATTCTACAAAGCATAACTTAATTTTAATATTGTATATTATAATTACCCAATTACCTACAGTATATATACTATATCAAGTCCTATAGATATGGAAGTAAATTAGAATGGTAGAGTAGACTACAAATTCAACTTGGATGGGTGTGTGTGTTGAGGAAGGGTATGACAAGAAGTTTAAGGAACACTTACATACATAACAAGATCGTCTGAACACATGAGGTGGGGGATACTTTTTTCATCAATCTTTATATATATGAATAGTTCTCTTCACATACTGATAAAATAAATTTGAGTGCGCAGCAATAAACTCAAAAGTACGGGGTAGGGCTTGGGGTGGAGAGGGCAAAAACATCCTCAAGGTTACATGCAAAAAAAATAGTTTTGCCCTCTCCACACATCCCACCAGCTCAAAATTATTTCCACGACTGATTTTTAAAATTAGTAAGGTCAAACAGTGGTGAGTGTTCTCACAAAATGGTAGACCTGGATATTAAGAATATGAATCCATTTTAGGATAAAACTGCATACTATATTTGCTATATATATCTTACATGCCTTGTATTGTTGGATTGCTGATTCACTCACAAGTGTCAACGTTTTCCTATATATTCATACCCTTTACTCCAATTAACGCTAATAATATCAATACCTCCATAAATCAGCAATATCATAGAATCATGCTACTTGAAACTGAATTATGTCGATTGATCAACAAATATAATAATGATAATATTATATAACAAAAAATAAAAGCATTTTTTTTTATATTTTTGCATGCACACAATACAAATCATGCATACACCCGCTCTCTCACCTTTACTATGTTGAAAAGATAAATTACAAAATTAAACTGTATGAATTTGGAATCAGAATATGTTTTAAAATATACCTATATAACTTTGGAAACGTAACATTATGTATCTGGTTTAGGTAATCTTCGAGCCATGAAGAGATATTCCACACACCACAAATGTCTTCGCTTTCTGGTAGAGGAGATTGTGATTCTCTAATTAAAGTATGCAGTTCAGGAAGGGTAATGGCGTCATTTGTCCTGAGTTTGTGACTTATCTTAGAAAAAGACTGGTCGACATCTTCGTGTGTGTGGCCGACTATAAGAAATGACATCCATACCTAAAATGTCAAAGTAGGCTGCATCATATATATATATTCAATTGGACTTTCATTACCTACTCTTTAGACAAAAAGTCAAGGAGGCCTATTGCATGTAAAGAATTGTATGAACATTCAACATTTACGAAATAATAAGAAATACATGAACCTAGTCAACATTGAAGTACTGAACCAACTATATATCTATAACGTATACAAGGCGAGCTCACTAACAGGAGACAACCTATGCACTTAAAAATGTTACAAGGAGTATCGAAAGTTACAACTCTCGTCACCAAGCTGTTTCCAATATCCCAGTATATAAGTACGTACAAAAGAAACAAGAGTACACATCATGTCATAAATGTAGTCACATGTATCATTTAGTATTACTCTTCATACATTAAGTGCGTTCGAAGCGGTCTTATTAGTTTACCTACATCGAGAACGTTCAAATCCTAAATTTGAAAACCAGGGATGTAGAATCACATCGAAATGTTAAGAGCCATATGAACAAAAGAGACATAAAAAGTTCGTATATAGTCTTAGATCAATGATCCAGTATAAAAGAGCCGAGGTTACATGAAAGCAATGCGAAAACGGACATTTTGAATTGTTCGACATACATTCATTATACACAACATACAAATATAATTCACACATTGCTTGTAGTATCTGAGAAAGGGGCTAATCGCATAAATTTTATGTAGCCAAATAATCAGGAATGAGGTCAGATAAACCCTGCTAGATAGACTTGTACATTTTATACTCATCCTTTACACCGAATATAGTTGACCTATTGTCCAAAGTACTTGAAAAATAGTCATCCTTGATGCGAAATCTTGATTTAGTACAAAGTCAGTTGATTTAAGTTTATGTGGTTTGTCTATATCCGATAAGATAAGATTTTGAAGTGAAAGGATGTGTTTCTGTGAGCTCCTGATTGATAATTACCATGGCTTTACTAAACAGTTTTACTGTTGTTAAATCACTGTTTAATTCTTTTAATGCAACTGTACTTTTTAATGAAAGTAGTGAAAGTAGTGAATTAACTGATCAAGTTATAGAAAATGAAGTCGACGCTGTATACGGTATTTAATACTTTCTAGAATCATACAATTCATAGTTCGTTATATGCACAAATATATATGCCACACAAAAATCATCTTCAAAACGTTCTGGCATTACTCTCTGAATTTTCACAATTTTTTATCAGAGGTGACCCCAGTCAAAAAATGGGGAAAAAAAATTTCAGATTTTTTGAGTAAATGCGGTACTGCTAAAAAGGGCCTGAAGATAATCTCCACTTTCTCCAATGATTCTTTGTATGTCATCAAGTACTGATTATATTGATACCAAAACCGATCCAATATGTAACTACTACGGTGAATTTTGAACAACAGTTTTAAATGAAACCATTTTCGTATAAAAGTACATTTTTGAAACAGACTATAGCATTTCAAAATATGAAAATGTGTAAATATTTGTGTTTAAGCATCGAAAACTATTCGTTAACTACAAAATCTCATGTCTATTCTTTTTTTTATAGTCTGTCATTCGAGTGAACATTTCAATGTTCGATGGGGATCATTTCTGTACATTTTCACTGAATTTGGTAATTTCGATAACAGCACTTGGATCGAGATTGTCATGTTTAAAAATCGATTTGTATATCCAAACTCGAGACGTGTACGTGCTTTTTTCAAACAAATCAGCAGAAGTTCAGAAAATGACATATTCTCTTCACAGTAAGTCAAAAGTCGAACCCACCCATGCTTCTAAGGTAAAAAGCAATACAAAAATGAAACAGACTATAGCTTAAAAACTAGTTAATCAATAATTCATTTGTCACCAAAAAATACGGTTTCACATCAAATATCAAGTAAAATTACTGTTTTTGACACTTTTTGAGCACTATGATAAAGAAATGTCGACGCTGTATACGGTATTTAATACTTTCTAGAATCATACAATTCATAGTTCGTTATATGCACAAATATATATGCCACACAAAAATCATCTTCAAAACGTTCTGGCATTACTCTCTGAATTTTCACAATTTTTTATTAGAGGTGACCCCAGTCAAAAAATGGGGAAAAAAAATTTCAGATTTTTTGAGTAAATGCGGTACTGCTAAAAAGGGCCTGAAGATAATCTCCACTTTCTCCAATGATTCTTTGTATGTCATCAAGTACTGATTATATTGATACCAAAACCGATCCAATATGTAACTACTACGGTGAATTTTGAACAACAGTTTTAAATGAAACCATTTTCGTATAAAAGTACATTTTTGAAACAGACTATACCATTTCAAAATATGAAAAATGTGTAAATATTTGTGTTTAAGCATCGAAAACTATTCGTTAACTACAAAATCTCATGTCCATTCTTTTTTTTATAGTCTGTCATTCGAGTGAACATTTCAATGTTCGATGGGGATCATTTCTGTACATTTTCACTGAATTTGGTAATTTCGATAACAGCACTTGGATCGAGATTGTCATGTTTAAAAATCGATTTGTATATCCAAACTCGAGACGTGTACGTGCTTTTTTCAAACAAATCAGCAGAAGTTCAGAAAATGACATATTCTCTTCACAGTAAGTCAAAAGTCGAACCCACCCATGCTTCTAAGGTAAAAAGCAATACAAAAATGAAACAGACTATAGCTTAAAAACTAGTTAATCAATAATTCATTTGTCACCAAACAATACGGTTTCACATCAAATATCAAGTAAAATTACTGATTTTGACACTTTTTGAGCACTATGATAAAGAAATGTCGACGCTGTATACGGTATTTAATACTTTCTAGAATCATACAATTCATAGTTCGTTATTTGTACAAATATATATGCCACACAAAAATCATCTTCAAAACGTTCTGGCATTACTCTCTGAATTTTCACAATTTTTTATCAGAGGTGACCCCAGTCAAAAAATGGGGAAAAAAATTTCAGATTTTTTGAGTAAATGCGGTACTGCTAAAAAGGGCCTGAAGATAATCTCCACTTTCTCCAATGATTCTTTGTATGTCATCAAGTACTGATTATATTGATACCAAAACCGATCCAATATGTAACTACTACGGTGAATTTTGAACAACAGTTTTAAATGAAACCATTTTCGTATAAAAGTACATTTTTGAAACAGACTATAGCATTTCAAAATATGAAAAATGTGTAAATATTTGTGTTTAAGCATCGAAAACTATTCGTTAACTACAAAATCTCATGTCTATTCTTTTTTTTATAGTCTGTCATTCGAGTGAACATTTCAATGTTCGATGGGGATCATTTCTGTACATTTTCACTGAATTTGGTAATTTCGATAACAGCACTTGGATCGAGATTGTCATGTTTAAAAATCGATTTGTATATCCAAACTCGAGACGTGTACGTGCTTTTTTCAAACAAATCAGCAGAAGTTCAGAAAATGACATATTCTCTTCACAGTAAGTCAAAAGTCGAACCCACCCATGCTTCTAAGGTAAAAAGCAATACAAAAATGAAACAGACTATAGCTTAAAAACTAGTTAATCAATAATTCATTTGTCACCAAAAAATACGGTTTCACATCAAATATCAAGTAAAATTACTGATTTAGACACTTTTTGAGCACTATGATAAAGAAATGTCGACGCTGTATACGGTATTTAATACTTTCTAGAATCATACAATTCATAGTTCGTTATTTGTACAAATATATATGCCACACAAAAATCATCTTCAAAACGTTCTGGCATTACTCTCTGAATTTTCACAATTTTTTATCAGAGGTGACCCCAGTCAAAAAATGGGGAAAAAAATTTCAGATTTTTTGAGTAAATGCGGTACTGCTAAAAAGGGCCTGAAGATAATCTCCACTTTCTCCAATGATTCTTTGTATGTCATCAAGTACTGATTGTATTGATACCAAAACCGATCCAATATGTAACTACTACGGTGAATTTTGAACAACAGTTTTAAATGAAACCATTTTCGTATAAAAGTACATTTTTGAAACAGACTATAGCATTTCAAAATATGAAAAATGTGTAAATATTTGTGTTTAAGCATCGAAAACTATTCGTTAACTACAAAATCTCATGTCTATTCTTTTTTTTATAGTCTGTCATTCGAGTGAACATTTCAATGTTCGATGGGGATCATTTCTGTACATTTTCACTGAATTTGGTAATTTCGATAACAGCACTTGGATCGAGATTGTCATGTTTAAAAATCGATTTGTATATCCAAACTCGAGACGTGTACGTGCTTTTTTCAAACAAATCAGCAGAAGTTCAAAAAATGACATATTCTCTTCACAGTAAGTCAAAAGTCGAACCCACCCATGCTTCTAAGGTAAAAAGCAATACAAAAATGAAACAGACTATAGCTTAAAAACTAGTTAATCAATAATTCATTTGTCACCAAAAAATACGGTTTCACATCAAATATCAAGTAAAATTACTGTTTTTGACACTTTTTGAGCACTATGATAAAGAAATGTCGACGCTGTAAAGATTGAAATAAACAATTAATTTCCCCATAGGCGACAATGATAGCCTTTTTCGAGATACAGACTTCAGAAAGTTGATGTTTTTAACAAAACCTTGCTAGAATTAAAGAAAAGATATTAGAACAGTATTTTTTGGTCCTTAAAATATAGGTTCGCGTTGCTTTTCTTAGCGTAATTTGTACTTATATCCCATGCCTATCAATTTTGCACTTAAAAATACGTGTCTCATCCTAGCGTTTAAAAATCATCTCAGTTCCGTTAGGGCTAAGGAAAATAATTTATTTGGCCTTTGGTATAATGCAGAAT